AAACATTCCCAGGGACACCCCAAAAAGAAGAACAAATATGCGCCTTAAACCGGTGGTCACCCTTCTGTAATCCGTTATGATTGTGTTCTTTTCCAGTTTTTCTCTAGCTCTGGAAGATTTTGGAATTCATGCTTTGTTTGCTTGAAAAAACAAATAATGGAAATAAAAGTAAAACATAACAGGCAAATGAAGTAATGTCCGTGTTTCTACATGACCTGTGGTAAGAGGCGCAGCAGGAACGCTATGGCAGGCCGATAAGACATTTATTAGAAGCGCAGTCCTCTCTATTGTTCCATTTGTTGATCTTCAAAATAAGATTCTTCCTAGTCAAAACTGCATTCCTACTAGCCAGAAATGTGCATAAAGATATCCTAAAAAAAATAAACATTACATTTCAGTCTACCAAACATAGAATTGTATTAGTAAGGATAAACTTTTAAATATCTAGAAATCTTTAATAATTTAAGTGGTCCTTTTGTTGTTTATTAACTTCACTGAATATATATTTCAGATGTCTCGATTGCATTTCTTTCTAGTCAAAATTAACATTTCAGATATCTAAAATAACGTTTTTCTATCTAAAATATTCATTTCAGATAGCTGAAATTTAATACTAGTACAAATGACGTCACATTCCTCATTCAGGTGTATTGGGCTTTTACTTCCAGATATCTAAAATAAAATTCTTCCTTTCTAAGTTAAACATTCTTCCCATCTAAAAATGTGTTTAGATAAATTCTAATTTCAGTTCTCCATAATAGAGTTACTGCTAGTATAAATGACTATTACGTTGCATCAATAATCAGCTACATAAAAGCACTCAATTCTAATTTAGATAGGAAGAATGGGATTTATGGATATCCACAACTAAATTGTCCCTGGTACAAATGTAGCCGTAGATATCTGTAAAGATATTTGTACTAGAAAAAATATATCTTAGATGTCAGAAATTACAATTTAGATATCTGCAATGTTTTCTTCATTCTTGATATGTGAAATAAAAATTATGACTAGTAACAATAGGATTAGGGAGTTCTGAAATTCATTTTTAGACATCCAGAATGCTTATTTTAGATAGGAGTAATTGCATTTCAGATATCTGAAAGTGGCGGCCCAATACACATGAATAGGGAAAAGTGAAGTACTAGGAAGAATTAGATTTCAGATATCTGAAATATTCATTTTAGATAGAAGGAATCCTATTAAAGATATCTGAAATACAAACAAATATATGTTAAAAAAAAGCCCCCTAAAATAAGTAATGGTTTGGAAATAGCTGAAATGTAGTTCTTACTATTACAAATTTGATTCCGGAGTAATTAATATTTAATTTCTACTGGTAGAAATGTAATTAGTGATATCTAAAATACAATTCTGACTAGCAGTATTTTAATTCTGACTAGGTAGAATCCTTTAGGGCTATCTATAATAGAGATGTGACTATTTATTTTAAAACTGCGCCTCATTATTCTTTTAAAAGTATCTAAAATAACATTTTATATAGGCATTATCTATAGTTATATTTCTACAAGCAGAAATCTATTTTAGATGTAAAGAGTTGGATTTCTGGATATCTGGAATGTTACATTCATTTTTGATATCTGAAATAGTAATTATGAATAGCAGTATGAAATACATTTCAGCTATCTGAAATTTTAGATAGGAGGAAAGTTATTTTAGATATCTGAAATGTACGGAGCCCCCTGGGTGTCAGGGTAAAAAAAAAAAAAAAAAAAAAAAAGAAAGCCGGTGGAAAATCTTGGGCATGGATTGATATACTGAGTGCACAGGATCAATAAATTGTGTGTCCTGCTTGCATTGCCTACGCACACAGCTGCTCCGGAACCTTCAGAGTTCGATGCAAGTTCAAGCTCTAAAGCATGCTCATTAAAGCATCGCACTGAACTATGTCTATAAAACAATTAATTGAGGAACAATACACAGAGAGCACAGTTTCTCAATCCGTGCCCACGGATTTCCACCGTTTTTTTTGTGTGTTTTTTTTTTTGTTACCCTGACACCCAGTGGGCTGCGTAGAATGTTACTTTTGACTAGGCAGAAATGCATTTGAGACATCTGAATTACATATTTAGTCAAGCTAATAAATGTCAATACGGCCTGCCATAAAATATACGGACAGTGGAACGCCCACAACTTTTGAACTTCCTTTTTTTTAACTTTCGAACTTCCTAACTGTCTGCCAAACACTGATGTTTTGTGTGAACATGTCACCACCTACTGGTGGAGAGTAGAACTACAGTTTGTAATAAAATCTGATTTTTTTTGCAACTGTTTTTCTTTTTTTCCCCTTTTAAGTTCCCTTGAAATTGTTAATGGTTGGTGTGCATTATAAAATCTTTTGTAAGTTTTTTTAAGTGTAAAATTTCTTAGAACAATCATTTAAGGTGCACAGTTTTTCTGCCATTTTAGTGAAATAAACTCAAGCAGACAGTGAAAGTGTTTGTGCAGATTGGGCAATGATGAGCAAAATGAAAGGTGTTAGTCATTTTTATTCAAACATGATAGTTTTCCCACGTTTTTTTTGTTTTAATTAGCTTGGAAGTTGTGTTCAACTAATCTTTTGGCTAAACCGACCTAATTTATCCAATCTACATTTTTACTCGGGGAAAACAATGCAAATTAGTCTCATCAGCCAAAATAATTAAGTTTAATCGCAACTTTCAAAAGCCAAAGAGAAGTCTTGAACCATCAAAACCTCTAAAGTGAGAGCCTGTGTCTTACAGATGACACCACCTATGCAGGTAGGCATAGCTGGGAGAAAATAGTCATTAATAGTGACGTATTAACACTGGCTTTGT